AACATGACAATGATCCCAAACATCCCGCCCGGGCAATGAAGGAGTGGCTTCGTAAGAAGCATTTCAAGGTCCTGGAGTGGCCTAGCCAGTTCCAGATCTCAACCCCATAGAAAACCTTTGGAGGGAGTTGAAAGTCCGTGTTGCCCAGCGACAGCCCCAAAATATCACTGCTCTAGAGGAGATCTGCATGGAGGAATGGGCCAATCATACCAGCAACAGTGTGTGCCAACCTTGTGAAGACTTACAGGAAACGTTTGACCTCTGTCATTGCCAACAAAGGATATATAACAAAGTATTGAGATGAACTTTTGATATTGACCAAATACTTATTTTCCACTATAATTTGCAAATAAATTCTTTCCAAATCAGCCAATGTGATTGTCTGGATTTTTTTTCTCATTTTGTCTCTCATAGTTGAGGTCTACCTATGATACCAATTACAGGCCTCTCTCATCTTTTTAAGTGGGAGAACTTGCACAATTGGTAGCTGACTAAATACTTTTTTGCCCCACTGTATATATTTAATTTCACACAAACAGGAAGTCAGCTATTGCTCATTACATGTACAGGTTCTGCTTCCTGCTTCAGTGCTACACAATAAGTCGTGCTTTATTACCTTTCCACATATGAGCTTTACTGCTCACGACGAAAATCTAGAGGTTGGTCAACACATTAAAGCTCACCACATTTTACAATCTGATTGTACAATCTCCTTTAGATCTACCAATAACTGTGTGTTACAAAGATCTTCCTGAGATATAGATATATTTGTCCAGAGAATGGTGGGACATTAGTCAGCTTACTAGTACAACATAATAAAATAGAGTCAGTGAGCACTTTTAAGACACCATTAAAGCTGTGTACCACCCAGAGGGAGGAGAGTCTGTAAACGGCACACCCCATCCATTCCATCCTGAGAGGGGGACCTCTGGCTATATTATTTTACATGCGTATTTAAAAATACGCATCTGGTGAGTGCGTATTTTTACCATTTTTCTGACTCGCCACTGAAGTTTGAAGTCACTATCAACCCCCATATCAAGCACTTTACCACGAACTGTCACATCATTTATTTATTTGATTTTATATTTATTTATTACTTTAGCGCTGCACTTTGTTATTACCAGTTACTAGTACAACAGAATTGCTGTAGTATTCTGCTAGCAATGAAAACTGCACAAGCTTCCTTACCTACTGCAGATATATATATATATATATATATATACACAAACAAGAACACATCTATTTAACATATTTCTCTAAAATAACATTGACAATATTTCTCCCTTTTAGGTGCGTAACTGTAAAATAAATAAAAACATTAGTGGATGAACTTGCAATCTTTCACAAAAAAATGACCAAAACACATTAAACTTTCATTTTAGTAGGAATGGAGTGTAATAATTCTAAAAGGCACTCAGTTATAACAGCTCAGCTGTTCCCTTTGTTCATTGAGCACTTGGTACTTACTTGAGGATCTGCAAAGAGCAGTTAACTTTGAGTGCTCCTGCCAAGGCTTTGGCTCCTACAAGGCCGATATGATTCCCTCGCAGACTGTTGGCAGACACAAGTGAGTGTTAGTTGTTACTATGCGCTTACAAAACAATAACTAAGAGCATGTGATGTGTTGGGCCCTGTTTGTGTCCCTAGAGTGGGAGAACGGTAGTGGCTTGCCCCTCCTTGTGGGAAGTTCAGTCTGGTTTGGTTTGTGGACCATCACACCACACTATGAGGCCCAACATATATATGGAAATCCTTCCAATGTATTGAGTTCAGGGGATTGCAGTGAGGGCGTTGTTAATACTACAGCATATAATTCCAGCTCCATCAAGACTTGGCTTGATTAGTTTGTTGTGGAGCAACTCAAGTGGCCTGTACCAAACCCTGACACTATTGTTCACCTTTGGAATCAAAGGAACACCGATTGCCAGCCAGGTCTTGTCATCTCACTATCAGCAGGTAACTTCACAATTGCTCTTTTGGCTGAAAGGGCACAGAGTCCCACAGACACACCCTTGTGCAAAGTCTTCCCAAAGCAATGTAGACTAATACGGGGGTCATCATCTCCATATTAATGCCCATGTTTTCGGAACAGCAGCTCACATAGGTGAGATGGTCACATTCTTTCATCAAGTTGTCTTCTGTTTGGGATCTTGATATTCAGAAAAAGTTCTAATATGTTTTATTGTAAAACTGTGTCTAGTTATTTACATAGTAAAGTGACCTGAACATACTCACTCAAGGGTGATAAGACTCTTATTGACCAGCAAAGTCTCAGCCAGAGCCTGTGCCCCAGACGGTCCAATGGCGGTTCCCTGTAAACTGCAACATTATTGACAATCAGTACTACAAGGCAAGAAACAATGAAAGCATCATGCTTGTATATTTATTGCAGGTACTTATTAGCGCCGTCAATTTACACAGCGCTTTACACATATATTGTACATTCCCATCAGTCCCTAACCCTCAAGGGGTGTACAATCTAATGTCCCTAACTCACATTCATCCATACACATACTAGGGACAATTTAGACAGGAGCCAATTAACCTACCAGCATGTCTTTGGAGTGTGGGAGGAAACCAGAGTACCCGGAGGAAACCCACGCAGGCACAGGGAGAACATGCAAACTCCAGGCAGGTGGTGCTGTGGTTGGGATTCAAACCAACGACCCGAGTACTGCCAGGTGGAAGTGCTAACCATTTAGCCACTGTGCTGCCCCATATGGTGCAACGTTTCATCTGGATTGAGGTGTTCATGGGAAAACAATGAGATGTAACCATTACATTTCTGTCTGGATAAAACACATTTTAGAACCCTGATATTATAGTGTACACAGAACTCAAACCAACACTGCATGAAATGTAGAAACTGAGGTTTGTGCTGACAGCGACGCTAAGGCTCCATGCACACGGGGCGTTTTAATAATGCTGGTAACATTAGCTGTATAAAGTCATGTTAAAAACATGCGTTTTTCAGCGTTTTTGCATTAGCGTTTAGTCGCATTTTTTCACGATTGTGTTTTTTCCAAAAAAAAGTCCAAAAACGCCATTTTGCCACGTTATGCCGTGGTTTTCAGTGTTAGAGCGTTTTTACAGCTAAAAAAATCCTATAGAAACACACTAGTCCGCAGTTTTTTTTCTAGCCAAAAAAATGCTGATTCCAGTCTCTGTGTGCATGGACACATAGGATAACATGCTGGGGGGTTTACTAGCTGTAGAAAAAAACGCCAAAAACAGCCGCTGTAAAAACATCCCGTGTGCATGAGGACTAAGAACTGCTACAGATTCCCAAATCAAAGGGCTTTATAACATTTAAAGATATCAAGTGGTGTAAGTCAATACCATTTATAAACCTTTCCATAGCAAACCTATTTATAGGACAACTTTTTTTTTAGCTTTTAAATAGACTTGTGCAGACCAAGCATTTCTTTCAAGTTTTTGCTGCTGTTTGACTGCAATGGAGAGATTTCATCTTACTTCCTGCCACTGCAAGGACAGAACATGAAAAGAAGGGAGTGGTGGTCCATGGGACAGAGCCACCTACACAATATTAACATGATAGACCCTGTTGTGTTACAGTCCTGTGTCCCCACATGCAAGATTTTTCCTCCCTCGATAGGGGTTCTTACCCTGGTATGTTACAGCTCTGTGTCCCCACTATAGAGATTCCCCCTCACTTCCTGTTCCAACACACAGTAAGAGAAAATCTTCCTAAAGCGGACCCAGCCTCCAAATAAAAAGCTGACAGGTTCCCTTTCCCAGTCTGCACAAATGTTTTGGAAAGAGTTGACCTTTAATCTTAACCACTTCCCGTCTGGCCCATGTACATAAACTGCCGGATGGGAGCAGTGCCAAAGCAGGTCACCCATTTATAAACGGCCCCCGCATTCACTGCATGTGGGCACTCCTTGGGAGCGCGCAGCACCACGATCCAGTGCCTGATCACCGATTGCTGTACGGGGACCTCTGTGTGAGGTCCCGATTCATGTGATCCCTGATTGGCCAATCAGTGATCACATGAATAGTAGTAAACAATATGTCATTTCCTGACATCATTGCTTACTACTTGTGAAATCTGTGAATGATCAAAGAGGTCACATGGTACAAGGCTATTCACAACAGCCTTGTACCATGTGACAAGCTGTGGCCAATCACAGCTTTCACAGTATTTCTCAAAGGCTGCAAGAATGCAGCCAGAGAGGAGAAAGATTGTTTTTACAGCATTTATGGTTGTAAAAGCAATCAGTGTAAAAAAAAAAAGAAAAAAAAAATCTTCATCGCCCTCCACAAGTAGTACAGTACCACTGTACTGCTAGGGTGACAGTATGTTAAAAATAAATAATAATAATAATAATATAAAAAAATTAAAATGTAAAAATTTTTTTTGAAAAATAATTTTTGGTTATAAACTAATTTGGGTTATTTTTTTTTTTTTTTTACTAAAAAGATAGCTGTGGCCAAGATTTATGAAGAAAGATTATTTATTTTCAAAATATTAAGAAAAACACTTTTTGTTTTTCAAAATGTTTGGACTTTTTCATTTTTATAGCTAAAAAATAAAAATCCCAGCGGTGAATAAATACCACCAAAATAAAGTTTTATCTGTCTCAAAAAAATGCTAAAAAATGCATATGAGTACAGTGTTGCATGACCCGCGCAATTGTCATTCAAAGTGTGATAGCGCTGAAAGCTGAAAATTGCCCTGGACAGGAAGGGGGTGAAAGTGTCCGGACAGGAAGTGATTAATATGCAACATGGTACAGGTCATTTGTCATGCAGATTGCACTGAAGCATGGAAAAAAACAGAAGCATCGCTAAGCCACCATTTGCCCAGAGGACGGCGGGACATTATTCAGCTTACTAGTACAACAGAATTGCTGTAGTATTCTACAAGCAATGAAAACTGCACAAGCTTCCTTACCTAGTGCAGATCTCCTCCATCTCAGTTGCCTCTTGAATCGGAAGCAAGTTATCCCTCACAACCATTTCAGTGGTGTAACAGACAGAACTCAGAACAGTTACTTTGCATTGCTTTGCGATTAGCTATCTCCAAAAAAAAGTTGTCAAGGAATAGCCAGGGGCGGACTGATCGTTTGGAAACTCGGGCACTGCCCGAGGGCCTGGGTCAGTAGGGGGCCCCATGAGATGCCCCTGGTACCTTTTTCATAAGCTTTTTTGAGTTTAGGCAAGGACACAGGGGCCCCATGATCCCCTAATGCCCGGTGGCCCCATGAGTTGTCAGTCCACCCCTGGGAATATCTTTCATTTATATCAAGAGGCAACTGAGATGGAGTTTACTTGATCTTGAACCCGCTCATTACTATTTACATCACCGCGTCTGATGGACTGCCGGCTAATTTTACCCACACATTCCTATGCTGTTTGTATTCTTCTTCTGTACATACTCATCATGCTGATGGCTTCACTTACTAGAGCGCAAAAAGAGTGGAGTTCTCCTGCAGAGCCTTGCAGAGCGCAGACACCCCCTCATCACCGATGGCATTTTCCTGCAGACTAATGAGAAGATAAAACAAACCGTGACATATTCTGTTTATTGAAGTGCCGCACAGTGTAACAGAAGTACAATAGTTTTAACCTTTTCTTGATTTTTTGTTTTTTACCTCTTTTCATCTTGGATAGATTTTCCAACTTTTATCCTACATTTTCCTTCATTTAAGCCCTGTCACCAGCCATAGCACTGGTTGGAGTGTAGGAGGGTTAGAAACCAATTTTATTTTTTAATGATGTCTATGTCCCCGATTTCATTTCACTTCCTATCCAGGTGACCACACAGGAAGCGGGAACACATTTCCCCAACAAGCACAAAGGCAACAATAAACAACAGAGATTCTCACCCTTTCACCCCTGGTTCACATCTATGCGGCCGTGCAGGCCGCGTTTTGCACGGGCACGAGAGCCCATTCATATGAATGGACTACTGTCCCCGGGACACGCAGGGAAGAAGTCCCTGCACTACTTTGGAAAACGCAGTCCGCATGGGAACCTCGGTTCCCAGTACGGTTGCGTTTTCCAGTGCCCTTAGAACTAATGGCAACCGCCCGCGGGTTTGCATTTCTCTGTGCGGGTGGTGCGGCTGCACGGAATTTTACGCAGATCCGCAGCAGCACCTCTCACATAGATGTGAACCTAGGGTCCAGGGGCGGACTGACAACTCATGGGGCCCCCGGGCAACAGGGGATCATGGGGCCCCTGTGTCCTTGCCCAAACTCCAAAAAGCCTATGAAAAAGGTACCAGGGGCATATCATGGGGCCCCCTACTGACCCCGGGCCCTCGGGCAGTGCCCGAGTTTCCAAATGGTCAGTCCACCCCTGCTAGGGTCACACTCTACATAGAAAGTTACTATCTGTGTCCCTTTGGAGAGATTTTCCTGACTTGGTGACTACACAGGAAGTGAGGAAAAAAATATCTGCATTGGCCTCAGAAATGGCAATAAAAACCTGCCAGTGGTTTTAACACCTGCCTTGTAAAAAAAAAAAATGTTTCAACTGGAGTCATTCTTTAAATAAACCACAGACAGGTCTCTGGGGGGGGGGGGTGTTGGCCTGTAAACACACAAAATCTAATGCTGGACACACATGCCACAATCTGATTGCACAACTTTCTTTAGATCTACAACTATGTACTGTAAAGGTCTGCCTGACTGTAAAAGAAATTAATGAATTTAGGTAGTCCTTCTTATTACACAAACTTGGTAAATCAAAATGAGATTGTACAATCAGATTGTTTGCAGCCATATGGTCGGGGTCTAAATGGAAAATGTGACACAAAAGCCTATAACTTCATGGGAGTTGGATGGGAGCGCTAACTGTTGTCCCTAAAGCACTGGGGTCCTGATGTACTTCTCCCCTCTGCCTGCATGGAATCTGCAAGTTCATCACACGATCCTAAGGCCTCATGTACACTGTAGCTGAAAAACTGAGCTTTTCTGCGTTTTTTTCAGCAGCCCCTGAACTCTCCCTAATGTTTTCCTCTGTGTCCATGTACACATCGTCGTTTAAAGGTAGTTGAGTTTACAGTCGTTTTTTTTTGAACGCACCAAACTTGCGTTCAGGAGTAGTTTTTATCAGCATTTCAAACGCTTGTAAACATGTGTAAACGCGGTTAACCACGCTTATAAGCGTTTTTTAACTGTTCCATGTCCAGATGCTGTCCAGAACCTTTTTTTTCATTATCAGAAATGCATGCAAAGTGTTTTCCATGTACTCAAATGGACCCGGCACACCAGCGCAGTCAGTTCCAGGTTCTGCGTGAAGGAAAAAATGGTAGAACGTGCCGCATTATGCTCATGATGGGATCCATAGTGAATACAACCAGAAAAGACAGGTCATCTCAAGACATACTGCTCTCTCTGCTTCTGCTCTCTCTATTCCTCTCAAACTGTCTGAAATAGTTATTTTTTTCTGTTTTTCAGTGTATCCTGGGCATTTTGGAAGGTCTCCTGAGGTTAACTAAAAAAAAAAATGCTTCTAAACGCGGTATGCAAACGCAGCTAAACAGACGTTTTTTAACCTACGTTTTCCAGCAGTCAGTTTCCATCGTTCAGAAGAGTTTTCCAAACACCCCGTGTACATGAGCCCTAAAGCATACTAGGAGGTTATTCAGCCTTCACCCACATTGGCACTAGATTGTGTCTAACGCTCGCCATATACCTTAACCCGATATGTATTTGTACGCGGCACACTTACTCTAAACAGCGCAAACACGTGTTAACACGAAGAGCATCGGCAAGGGACCTCGCTGACCCGACTCGTAGGAAATTCCACTGGAGACTGAAAGACACAGAAGACCAGAGTCAAGGTGTTAATGTGATCAATCCTAGGCAGGTTATCCCGAAATTGGATTTGCTCCATCTGGCGGCTGGTAATATTTTCTAAATTGCCAAAAGATACTGCAGCTCTTATAAAGTACACCAACCATTTACAGCAGTCCTGTAAATCTAATGTCTCTTCCATAGTCACAAACATATACAGTCTAAAAGCAATTTTTAGTAGAAGCCAATTCATTGCCGGTATGTCTTCTGACTCCTAGAAACTGAAGTGACGACACATAATCAATATTATGTAGACCCTGGACAAGTCCTGATCTGAGGATAGGCCTCCCTTTCATATTGTCTCTTCACTCCATCACTTGCACCCATTGTGGGTTTTTTTTCTAGCTGCAATACCACAAGAAGACATTGGCACCAATGAAACCCCATAAGCAAAGCCTGGACCAGGCAGATCATACCTGGACTGCCCCTCTGTTGTAAGGCGCTGTCCTCACTGATTTCCTGTGCACTCGCTCCAGCGCCGGCTGCACATCATTGCTGTGGAACGGTTTCTTGATCGTGACAGTGAAGGACCATGCCTCTGCAATGTGTGTCAGCACAACTGCTAGTAGTCTCCATTAGGGGGCACATGTGACAGGGGGACAACACAGGAGCACATTTGGGAGGCAATTGTCACACCGTAACAGGAAGTGCCTGAACTAGGATCTTCAGAGCAGGATCACTAGGCTTTATTTTTAACAGAGCTCAACATTTAAAAAATTTGAAAACAATTTTTGAAATTACATTAAAGCGGAGTTCCACTCACCCTGTCAAAAAATAAAAGTCAGTTGCTACAAAAACCAGCCACTTACCTGTCCCTCGGTCCCGCGGTGTGTCCCCCGCAGCCCGTTTCACTGGCCGTCCTGTATATTCCGCGCGCCTGCATCTTCAGTGTGGGCACCCGGCTGTGACGGCTTGCGGCTTCACAGCCCGGTACCCACTGCACATGCACGAGTAGCGCTGCGCTTCATGAATGGTCCTGTAGTCGTCTGGGACCTGTCACGTGTCCCAAAAGACTACACGGAGGGAGGGCGGACACCTTCCACAGGGCTGGAGGGGCAGAGCAGAGAGCCGGTGACTGGCAGTGTTTGACCGCTCAGTTCCCGGTCTCAGATGCAGTGGGGGACAGATACAGGATTGGACTGGTGCTGCATCCACCTAGGTGAGTATGTAAGTTTATTATTTTATTTCCCACACTTCTCTTTTAAAGCTAAACTCCAGGCATGAAAACTTTCATTCCTAAATAGTCACAAAGGATAAAAACCTACTTTTTGTTCACCAAATGCCTTTGCAAACCCAGATCAAACTATCAGTGACATCACCACTGTGTGGCATATAACCTGTGCACAAAGCAGAGCTGTGGGAGGGACACATAAGCTCCACCCACAGCAGGCTGCCTGCAGAAAACTACAGAAAGGGGCGGACACAAGACCAGTCACCCTGACAAGAAGAGAGGGCAGCAGTGACCAGTATTTATTATAGAAAGCTCCTGCACAAAATAAAGCTGAATTACTGTGCAGATCTGGAAAAATACACAAAGCACAGCAAGATTCAAATAAATACACGTGTTCAAAGAATACACATGGCTCTTATATTTGGACAATAATTGCTTATCCCAGAATTCAGCTTTAAGTATTGTCTTCCACACCTGCTTATCTAAAAGCCCATAATGCAAAAATGTGTGGAATTTTCCTGGTAACCATTCCCCTTCCTCCTGGATTGTAAGCTCCAAGGAGCAGGGCCCTCAAACCCCTCGTGTATTGTATTGTATTGTTACTGTACTGTCTCATGTATTGTCTCCCATAATAATGTACAGCGCTAAGCAAACTGTTGGTGCTATCTATATACTGTATAATAATAATAACTGGAAGTGCATTGACCAGGCAGGGGAATCATCAGCAGGGTGGATTTTATTTAAGATCATTTAGCTCTACTTAGTCTTATACTGGATGGAGGCATCATATGGAAATCAGATGGAGACCATGTATCAGCAATTTATATCTAGAGCATCTATTCTCAAGCAGCGTTCTGTAGGATGCTAGGGTTCCTCCGGCAGTTGCTAGGGGTTCCATGAGCTGTGCCTCATTGACCTCCCATTTGATGGTACCTGCCTAGGTCAAGGGTCAGAGCCAACTGCATGACAAAAATATGTCTGTTTTAGCTGTCTGTAAGGGTGGCATTTGGACAACACCAAGATTCTTCCCACTAACCACCAATTTAAGGGGAATTTTCCCTACTGACCACCAATGAATTAGTTTCTGTAAGAGTTCCCTGAGACCTATAAGTTTTTCAAGGGCTCCTCTGTATTTAAACATTTGGGAAAGGCTGATTTAGAGTGACCAGAAATTGGCCAGTGTACGTGCACTTTAAATTGTTCATAGGGTAAATCACAATAAACAACGGCCCAAAGACATTAACAGAAACCTCGCCAGTTATGAAAAGAAAGAAGCACAGTGCAAAAAAAAGTGAAATTGATGACTCATTAAATGGCTGCCCGTATGTGTATTAACGAAGTATACATTTTACTACCCAATTACTTTCTGATTCCCAAAACTATGTCACTTATAGATTCAGTTGAATGCAGAAACGTACTGTAGAGTGTCCAGGCTGTGGTTCTCCTTCAGTGCCCCAGACAAGGCCTCCACTCCTTCGTCATGCAGAAGGTTGGCTGTCAGGCTGGAAGGACAAAGGGCATACATATTGTACTTTATACATTTCTGTACAGCCTGAATGCATAACTGATATTTGGTAAAATACAACAAGCATCAGACAAATCCTGATTTGGGCGAAGTGGACAGAGGACGCTTACTTACTCTAAGTGTGCCAGAGTGGTGTGTTTTTCTGGAGGGCCTGTGCCAGAGCTCGGGCTCCCTCGATGCTGATGGAATTCTCACGCAAGCTGAGAGAGAAAAACAAAATAAACTAGACAACCAAAACGAGAACATCTGCCCACATGTCCCACTTTTTATACCTTATATTATAATAATGTGTATTAAGTTAGGTTTTTGCAGACATATTAGAAGTTTAATGAAACTGTTTCAGTTTGCACCAGAAAGTATAAGCAATGATAAGATGACCCTGAAGTTTTCTTTGTCCAGCTAATTCTCAGAAAGCTAGCAAAAACAGTTTATACCAAGAAATGTATATGTCATGTTTCATGTAGTTAGCTTATGGTGGAAACTTACAAGTTACAGTTTTGAAACTTGGTCCCCCCTCCCTTATTCTTTCTGTATCCTATATAATCTTAGTAATGTCTAATAAACTTTGAACATCTCTGAACATAAGCTGCCTGCTGTTATTCCGTGTTCATGGGGTGTTCCCAGAATTCTGCTGATACTTTTAAACCAGGAATCTTTCCACAGACCGGGGGTCTCTGAGGAGATAAAGAAAATCGATCCTTTCAGGCACCAGAGCACAAATGGCAGGAAAGACTGACTACTGTCTACACATCAATGCCAGGACAGAGTTGCCGAGAAAGCCATGCATGGTCATTGCAAATCACACCTGCGTGGCTGTTTAAAGTGTATGATGGTATAGCGATAACTCTATGTTCACATCTTTGCGGCCGCGCGGGCCGCGTTTTGCACAGGCATGAGGGCCCATTCATTTGAATAGACTCCCGTGC